ATAACTATTCAGTGAATGTAAATTTCTGTTTAATACATACATATGTATTTATTAAGTATCTCCGGTAAATATTTTGATAATACGGATATGTAGATAACGTATGTACAAATGAGAATAGCATATGGATATACAAACTTGTCCTTTTGAAGATATCCCTATAGTATCCAAATGTATAATATCCTATGGACAGCTTGTAAGACTCATGGACCAGAAATAGACATAAAACGGATGTCCACAGGATATCCTGTGCTGTCTGGGATGATTTACATCTAGGACTCTTACTTTATTCAATTTTGGTTATTTTAAGATATATATCGCTGGGATGCTGAATAAGTGCTGCGGGGATGTATTTTAATTTTGCTGGAGTTTTTTCACAAACATCAAATTTATAATTTCGTAAAAGAGTAATCAGTCCCATTTTGAGTTGTAATATACCAAATCGTTCACCTGTAAAATGTTATTAATAATAATAAGAATAATATAAGAATAATTATAATAAGAATATATATGAATATATAATAATATAATAAGAATATATAAGAATATATAATAAGAATAATTATAATAAGAATATATATGTTATTAATAATAATATAATGAGAATTGTTATTACTATTATACAGTATTAACATTTATATATATGATTTAATTTTATTATTTTATTACTAAATAATCATTTTATTATTATTAATTGCAATTATCGCTTTTTTATTACATACCAATACAATTTCTTGGACCATGTCCAAAAGGCATATAATGCATTGATTGTCTCGACCAGGCTGCTTTATCGATGAATCTCTCAGGATCATAATTTTCCGGTTTAGGATATATTTCTGAATCAAAATGAATACTATGGACAGGTATACCAACTATTTGATCTTTTGGAACAGTTAGTTGAGAATTTCTAAAAGTGTAAGTTGATGATGACTGTCTCATAATACAGTCAACTATCGGATATTTTCGCAATGTTTCTGTAAATAATTTATATCAATAATTATAATTATAATGTAACTAAAGGAGGATGTTAAAAAAGTGTTGATTTTGCTCCTCAAAATATCACAGGAATGAACTGTGAGATCCTGATCTCTGCCAAGTGATGATAAGCGGACTGTCCTCCACGTAGTGCAGCCTCAATAGTGCTAAAGTAGTCCACGATCTTTACATGAAAAACATACTTACATTTATGGCTAAAATCATAATTTTTCACTTATTAATCGTATATGTGAATGTCTCTTTTTACTATATTTAAGGGGGAGGGGGAGGGTATTCTAGTGTGAACGTCCGTTTTTAAGGTGATTTTTGAGAATTAATTTTATAAAAACGGTTAAACCTACAGATGTAATGTTTTTACATTTATACATATTTTGAAGTAACATCTCAAGATCGGAAGAGCACACGT